GCGGTTCATGCGTTCCTTCTGTCAAATTTGCTGTGTGTGGGGAAAAAACATAGCTCTTTGTAAAATAAATCTGTGTTTGGGGCTCTCAGACCTCAACTGTGAGACAGTTGCCTTTTAGGTTTTCATTTTTTTCCACTAGTTTGTCTAGTGGATTCAGCTGTAGATGTGTTGCTGCCTTCTGAGACTGTAACGAAGCGTTTGTCACTGACGGAATGGCAGTAGTTGAAAGATCACTTTTTCTCCTGGACTTTCCAGCCCCAAAATACCAGAGACCAGTAATGTTCTGTTCCTTGGAGCAGAAGAACATTTTAACTGTAACATTTCTGCCTGTTTTTAACTACCTTTTAGCCTCTGATTTTATTTTTAATTTTTTTTTTTTCCCCCCATTTCTGAAGCATGTTGCCTTGGGTGATTAATCCCTACTGATGCTCGGAAGTCCTGTGGGATGCAGTTGCTTTTTGTTTTCAGAACAGCTTGCCCTACATGCCTTCACTCTCACCTGAGAGCTGTTTTGATAATGGATATTATTTTGCTTAACAGAGCACCTTGTATAGGAGACTGACTGAATGGTTCTGTGTTGCAAGCTCTGTGCTCCTCTCCTAAATTCCAGCTGCTTTGGAAATTTCTAATATCCATAGAAGGCCAAAGCAATGCTTTCACCAGACCTGTGGTAACAGGGAAGAGGGAAATGAGGGGTGATTCCTGCAGGAAGCCCTCTGCCTTGCGTTTGAACCGCACAGGTTGTTTTTAGGACGTGTTCCTTCAACGCAGAATTTCACTATAGATTTTGCAAGACTTTATAATTCCCCGGGGAAATTCGCTGAGTTTTGCTTGGTCTTGAACATGTACAAACATGGGAGAATTTACCATGTGTCGGGTGCAAATCTGTTCATCCCTTCAGGCAAGCCCCAAAAGTTTGTGGTGGTAACAGACCTTTTGGTTTCACCTGTTCAGAGATTAGAGTAGGTTGCTAGAATTCATATGGGTCTAGGCGCCAGTATTTTGAGTAGCCATCAGACTTCTGGAGCATGTCCTGAAAAATGTAACCTTTTTTCTTTCTTCTTCTTCTTCCCAGCACCAGTTCCTCAAAATTGCAAAGCCTCTATCTAGTCTCACTCCTCTGATTATTGCAGCTAAAGAGGCAGCCAAGAACAACCATTAAAGTGGTGGTGTCAACACAGTTGTGTCAAGACTTTCAGATGTTCGTTTCGGAGACTGAATTACCTGCCCCTCTCCCCTTCTGCTCCTTCTTCTCGGGAGTGTTCTTAAAACCTTGATCTGCCCCAAAGGGTGGCAGAGGTGGTGTTCACTGAACGTGGAAGGGCACGCGGCGGGGGACGCTGCTGATCTTACACAGCAAACTGTCTGTCCATCCTCGTGATGGGGGTGAGAGGGGAAGAATGTTTTGTGTGGTGGAGAAGATCTTTCTGAGAATGTCTGAACCTGACCTACACGTAGCAAAGCCAGTTTGTTTTCATATTTCTTACTGTGTTTTATTTTTAAAAATAATGTGGACCCTTAGACCGTGTTTCTCTTAATAAATTAAATCTTTTTGCTGGCTGGACTTCTCCTGCTTCTGCCAAGCTGCTATGACACCGCGGAGGCTGCTCTGTGCTTTGGATGACTTGAGGAGGGGAGGAAGCCGGCAGCAGAAATGGGAACAGCTGTAACAACTGAAAGGGGAACGAGGGCGTGAATCTGCATCCCTCCTACAGTACTGCTGGATACTTTGAGGGAGCGTGGAGAAAGCTTCTGTGTGCTTCCTGCAGCCCTTGGAGAACTCAATTCGTGGATCATCTTTTTGCCAGATTGTGTGAATCGGGGTCTCCCCCTCCTCCTTCGGTTTCAGCTTAACTAGTTAGACAAATCTCAAACATTTCTGATGTTCTAGAAGGTAAATCACAGGAAAAATCGTCGAAGAGCTCTTTTAGGGTTATTTCATCAGCGCTGTGAGGCTTCTTAGAGACCCTTGCCCTGTATGATAAAGCAAACGGAGCAATTACTCTTATGAAGATAAGATGTGCCTGCAAAATGATGTTGAAAACTCTTGTTTCTTACAGCAAGGGCAATGGAAAACCAACTGATCAGGGATGCTGCTTTCTTCTAGGAGGCATGGGGACGTTCATTTTTTGAAATGATAGTGGGTTCTTTATGCTACCACTTCCTTTGGTTGCTAATAGTCTGTAAAACAACAGGAAACCTGGAACTACTAGAGGGATGGGTTGTAAACACTGGGCTTATGTTTAACTGTATACTGATTTTTAATAAAATGACTGCTGCTTTTCTTAAATGGGGGCTGAGGCAGGATTGGAGAATTCACTGTCACCAGATGAGTCTGTCGGATGGCTTTATTGTTCATATCATCACCAGGTGCTTGAATGTGTTGGAGAAAGTAATACAAGCTTGTCTCTTACCCTTCTTCTGCAGTCCTTTGGGCTAACAAGTGGCTCTCAAGGAAGTAACTTTACACAGAGAAAATTGATAAAAAGATCACAGAATGGTTTGGGTTGGAAGAGACCTTAAAGACCATCCAGTCCAACCCCCTGCCATGGGCAGGGACACCTTTCACCAGACCAGGTTTGTTCCCAGCCCCATCCACCCTGGCCTTGAGCACTGCCAGGGAGGGGGCAGCCACAGCTGCTCTGGGCAACCTGTGCCAGTGTCTCACCACACTCACAGCAAAGAATTGCTTCCTCATATCTAATCTAAATCTTCCCCCTTTTTAGTTTGAAACCCCTACCCCTTGTGCTATCACTACACTCCCTGATCAAGAGTCC